TATACCATCACTAAAATCTAGATGCTTACAAGAGCAAAACAGAAGCACTGCCAAGAAATGCACCCAATGGCAGAACACACTTAACAGGAGGTAACTTGCCAAGCAGTTTTGATGCTCTTTTTTTTTTTTTTTTTTTTCTAATTTATGTTATGGGAAAGCATTTTAGTGAGAATTGGAAATGACCAGACTCAGCCTTTCCCAGCACTTTCCTGTGAACAACTGCCCGTTCTTTCCTCCCACTTCACTCATCATCATGTGCAAAGGGAAGAGCATTAGTGAAACTCAGATATTGCATTACCAGAGAGCTGAAGCAGACAGAGCTCCCTGCAAGCTGAAGCACAGTTCTAGCATTCACAAACAAAAGAGCAGAGACTTTTTCTTCTTTGAGAAATTTCCTATGTGCTTACCATCATGGCCAACAAACCAGTGATGACTTTGCTGTTGTTTTTAATATTGACTGCATTAGCTCAATGTTCAGGCTTACATGGTGCAATGTCATCAAAGACAGCCCCCACTGATAGATTATTTTTGGCTCCCAGTATAGATGACAGCTGTATATTTACACTGTGTTTGGCAAGAAGGGATTTTTTAGAATATTGCCAAATACAAACAGATCTGGAAAGGTGACAGTTTCCTAAAAAATAATTCCAGGAAGGAAATTCCATGATAACAACAAGATACAAAGCAGTCGTGTGACTTTTAGACATGCTTAACTCTTTTTATATTCTACCTTTGGAACTCATTACTATGAGCTTTCTCTGATTTCAGTTTAATTATATTTTGCATTCTGGATCATTAGAAAACTTCTCCCTTGCTGCACATTAGTCATCTTCTCTCTCCGTTAAAAATTTTATCTAATTTCCTTAATTAATAGAATATATTTAGGTCTTCTAGCTAGGTTTTCTAGCTATATAGACTTCCCTTTGTTTATTACTATAAAAACAATTTAGGCAAAACCCAAATAAAATATTGCAACTTGATGTTTTTTTCTCTTTTTCTATAATTATCTGTCTGAATGTAACAAAGGAGATAGTGGCAACTTCTTCACTTTTTATTTTTAGCATGGTGTTTCTCTTGTGAATGAGCTATGCTTGCAATTTCTGTCCATACTCTATATTTCTTCAATTTCCTAATTCCAAAATGATATGTGGGTGGATTTTCCTGAAGTCATAAAGCAGTGACACAGCTATTTCCTGTTGCCATCAAAATTCTGTAACAGAATTTCTCTCTCCCCAAGTTACTAAGTTACTTGGAGTACAGCCACAAAAAAAAAAAAAAAAAAAAAAAAAAGGGAAAAAATACCTAAGTTGATTGTGTTGATTGGATTAATAAAAACTTTTCAATAGCCCCATAGACTTTGTGCCTTCAGTTCTGCAGATCTACAATGATTCCAGATAAGTGAGTAAACTGAGAACCTGTTCACTTGCCAAAAAAACAAAACAAAACAAAACAAACTAAACAAACAAACAAAACCCTGAAAAATTTAAAATCAGATCTGTTCCAGAAAAAGGGGCTGTATTTTTCCACTGAAGTATGCCATAGGAAAAAGGAACTGGTAAGATGGATCATTCAGTCCACTTTAGCCAGATCACATTTATTTTTAGCCTATGGAATTGGCACAGATGAGTAACAGAAGCAGAATACCTTCAGCTACATTTCCAAATTTACATACAATTCCTAGTAGGAATACCAAATGTCACCTTTTAGCTCAGCAGAGTTTTTTGTGCTGAAACCCTTGCTGTGAAAACCCAGAATTATTTACAATGCACACAGCTTTTAACTCTTTTGCAGGGGTTTTTTAAAACAAAATTTCACCTAATTCTGGAATACCTACAGTATCGCTCATAAATAATCCTGCACGTGCTGCTCTGATGTGCTAAAGCCTCCATAGCTGTTAAAGCCGGATTCAGCATCATCTGTCACCCATCTGTCCTCCCAGCACTGGACCTGGCTCTTCCCTGCTACTGGTGCAAGTCAGGAGTAGCTCCCGAAACCCCTGGATTCTGCTAATGCAAACCAGACTGAGGGGACTGGAAACAACAGAGCAGAGCGATTGGTAGGTGGAGATGGCTCTTTCTTCACCGAGCTGCAATCTCCTTTATCTCTTCCTTGCTGAAGGAGGTGATGGTAATCACCACCTGCAGGAACAGATAAGAAGGGCAAAGACAGATATTGTAACAGGATCTTTAAAACTCTGTTGGCCATTACTCTGGTCAACTGCGCGAAAATTACTCTCCAAAGTGGTAATAAGCTGAAAATGTTAGGCTCTCCTTTTAAATAAAGCAACGGCACCAAAAGAACAATTGTGATTGTTGAAATACCAAGGCTCCTCTAAATGAATGTATCTGTGATATGACACAGTATGAGGTCAGATGAAGCAACTGTAACCAAGGAGGAACACCTCGAGAGAACAATGAAAACTTCGAGATCTGCTGCAAAATACTTTTTTTTCAAGTGGATGTTTGCAGAAGGAAGTACAAAGAGATAGAATTTATTCAGGAAAAACAAAACTATTTTAGTCTACTGTGGGTTTTGTTTTAAAATCATAGGTTCTCTGTGTGATTCATAGGATCTTCTATCAACTTGCATTTTTTAGAATTAACAGGTGCCAACACGCCTGTATCTTCTTGACCCAGGTACTAGGTCCAAACGCACAGGATGGTATTATTATGAACTGAGTAACTTTCAAATGTAATAGATATCTGCTGTCAAAGAGATATCAAACATTCCTGAGGGCCAAGGGATCCTAGAAACAGGTATTTCTGTAATCAGCTGCTGGCCCTCTGTGTCACATGGTCTGCTCCACAATAAATATCCCATCGCTCTGCCTGGCTGTGCTCCCGACCCTTGGGAAAGGGCAGCTCCCCGTGTGAGCTCTGCTTGGGTTTGGCCTCGCCTTTGGCCCTGGAGGTGACAGATGGCACCGCTCAGGTCTTTCGGCAGTGACTGCCATGTCACGTCTGACCCTGAACAAAGCGCAGTCTGGCTCCTGCTGCCCGGGGCAGGATGTTCCCAGCCCAGACACAGCCAGCGCTCCTCGGCTGCCTCCTTTCCGGTGCGATGGTTGTGAACGCACAGCACCTCAGCTACCTGCCGGGGGAGACAGGCAAGGAAACAGCATCCTTGCCAGTTCAGCTTTGCATCAGGACCTGACTGGCTGCATTCCTGCAGAAGTAAACTCCCATCCCAAGCTACTCAGCATCTTGCCTTGAGGTGCTGCAGCTTCCAGAGAGAACAGTTCTCAGAATAAGCTGTGATGGGAAAAAAAGCAGTGCTGAGGAAAGGTTTGAGTGCCCTACACCCAGTTCCCTGCTCCTTCAAGGGACCAAGGGCAGCAGCTGTGAACACGCAGGGCTCTTTTTGCCCAGGCTAGCTGCTGCTGGGAAATAAAGTCCCATCACCAGGGAGGTTCTAAAAGGCATAAAAAGCCACAGCTTCCAGACACCATGTCCTGCTGCAAAGCCATGCCTACACTGCCAGCCCCATTGAGGCAGGGAATATGACCAAGGCTGGAAAAGAGAAGCCCCCACTCCAGGTGTGGTTGGAGAATTCTCCCAATGGCCACAGCATCCCGTGAAGACCTGTGGGGATGGTGGCCCTGGGGTCACCACATCCTCCATGGGAACCCATGGCCTGGCACGGCCAGGTGTGGGGCTGGGGGCTCAGGCAGGAGCTGGGTGGCTCAGGCAGGCTGCCCAGTCCCCAGGGCTGACCAGTGGGGACAGGAACTGCAGCCCTGTCAGGATGGCACAGGCCAGGGCACACACACTGGACACACGTTGTCCATGAAATGGGAATCATTATCTGGTGTGCAACACGCCAAGAATTGCACACTCAAGAGAGACATTGATTATTTATTTCAGGGTTGTGCAAGCCTGGGTGCTCAGTGGTATTGCACAAATCAAGCACAAGCCACCAGAGTTTCTGCACCATTATTCATAAACAGAAATTCAGAGTGAGCAACTTCCCCTAGCCCCCCTACTAGGATTGGTTAGTTATTTCCATACAAGTTACCAGGTAACTTCTACACGTGCTCAGAGAAAGGGTTTTCATCTGGGCAGAGGTCTTTCTGACCTGTAGGTGTGATCTTTAGTATTACACTTAAGATGGTTCAGCAATAGGATACTTGCACCTAGAGTATTTTACCCAAGTTAGCAATGGAGCCTCTGGAGCAGGTCCAGTGGAAAGGAGGAAGGATAACTGGGGGACTGGAGCCTCTCTCTTATGAGGAAAGATGAGGAAAGTCCTGTTCAGCCTCAAGAAAACCCGAGTGAAAGGGGACCCCATCAATGTGTATCTGAGAGTGGCAAGAAGATGGAGCTAAGCTCCTCTCAGTGGTGCTGAGCAATAGAACAAGAGGCAATGGGCAGAAACTGATGCACAGCAAGTTCCACAGGAACATGAAGAAGAAGTTCACTGTGCAGTGACCATGGACTGGAACAGGTTGCCTGGAGAGGGTGTGGGGTCTCCCTCACTGGAGACATCCAAAGCCATCTGGATGCCATCCCGTGCCATGTGATCTGGGGTGACCCTGCTCAAGCAGGGAGGTTGGACAAGACTCCCCGTTGTGGTCCCAGACCCATTCCGAGATCCTGTGATTCTGTGCACATAGATAGACACCAACACCGCCATGTGCTGCGTGCTTGAAGCTCCTCAGTGGCAGCAGGTCCGTGAGGGAGAGATGCTGCCTGTCCCACTGACTAGGGCTCCTTCGTCGTGCTTGAAGGCACACACAGATCTGACACTAAAGAGCCTCCTGACTGAGGATAACACACAGACACAGGCACATAGACAGCCACACACACACGAAAGTGCCGACGCGGACACGCAGCCCACGCCGCCCCTCACGCTCTCCGCGGCGAATCTGCCGCTACGGGGCGCCGCCCGGCCCAAGCTTCCTGCGCGCGGCCCTGCCCACGTCGGAGCGCGCGGGCGCCGCGCGGTGGGCGTGGCCGCAGGCGCTCCGAGGGACGCGCCGGGCCCGGGGAGGAGGAGCGGGATCGGCAGCGGGATCGGCCCTTCCCCGCCGCCGGGGCGAGGCCGCAGCGGAGCGGGGCGGGGAGTGGCCGGGTCCGGCCCATGGACCGTCCGTGCCCGACGCGGAGCCCGTGGAAGGAGCCGCTCGGCCGCGGGAGGCGGCGCGGGGCGGCTGAGAGCGGCTGAGCCCCGGGGCCTTCGCTTCGCCCCGTCCCGTCCGCGCCCCGCGCCCGCCGCCCGAGCGGCACCATGTCGGCCAAGGTGCGGCTGAAGCGGCTGGAGCAGCTGGTGCTGGACGGGCCGCAGCGGCACGACAGCGTGCTGAGCGTGGAGACCCTGCTCGACCTCCTGGTCGGCGTCTACGCCGAGTGCAGCCGCGACTCGCCGCTCCGCCGCGACCGATACGTGTCCGACTTCCTCGAGTGGGGTGAGCCCGGGCGGGGGCCGCGGGGCGGGGGCTGCGCGCGGTGCCCGGCGAGGGGCGGCGGGCCGGCCGGGGCGGCCCGGCCCCGCGGTGCGCTCCCACCGCCGCTCCCGGCAGCGGCCGGAGACGCCGCCCCTGGATGCGGCGCCTCCCTGGGGAACACCCCCGCCGCCAGCCGGGCCTTGACCCTCCCGGTCTCCTCCCTCGGTCCCAGGCGAACCGCTTGGCAGCCGGCAGCAGCGGAGTGTCCTTGGCCTGAAACCGTGCTCGGCTTAGCCCGAAACGTCAGGCTAATCCAGTGCTCCTCGGAAGGTTTCCTACCTGGGGGAGGGGAGGAGAGGAGAGCACCAGGCTCAGGCTTTGAAATGCTGCTCTGGTGCCGGCTCCTTGCTTTAGAGAGGGCGTGTGTGTGTGTGTGGCTCGAAGAAACAACAGTTCCCGTTCATCATGCTGTCTTTTTTAATTTGGGCATGCCCCCCCAAGGACAGAGAATTTCTAGGCAGCCTTTCTAAGAGCTTTGTTTAATGGTTCCCTACTGTTAAGCAGCCTGATAACGAGAGACCTCCAATAGTCCGGAGCATGCTGACAAAAGAAGATGTGGATACTTTTGATGGCACTTAGGATAAAAGTTTTCCATCCAGTGTTGGTTAGTTAAGGCTATTGACTAGAGGTATGTGGAGAGCAGAGATCCTTCCCTGCTGCATGTCTAAATGAATTTATGTTAAAACGGCCATGGTGGCTGACTGGTTTATTCAGCTGAGTAAGTTATGAATAATAATGTGTGACGAAGGTGACTTAACTTCTCCATGGAATAAGAATTGGAGGGGAGGGAGGAGTGATCATTGCTCACGAGAACGTTGCCCCGTTTATCAGCTGTTCCATGCATGTACAGTTAATTAGGCTTTAAAAGAGCACTCTTAAAAAATCAAAAAACAACAAAAAAAAACCCCAACCAACAAAACAAAGGATTTCCTAAGGGAGAGGGAGGGGCAGATTTACTTCAGTAAATGCAAATGTGTGTCTTTAGCACTAGAGACCAGAGTACTAACATGAAGGGACAGCTGGTTCTCCTTAATTTCTGTGGGGACCACCACTCTTTGTCATACACTAACAAACTAAGAGGATTCACTTCCTGGACTCTTCTATTGACGTCAGTAATGCGATTGCCAACTGAATAATTAACCACTTTATCACATCTGCCCCGCAAGGCTGCAGCCTGGGGAACATTGATTATTTGTTTTGTCATGGGAGCTTTGTACGTCTTCTGCAAAGAGCATTCAGGGCTTTTTGTTTTCAAGCTGATGGCTTGAAGGAGTGAACACCAGCAAATTGTTAAGTGTGATAGATCAGACTGCAGCATACTTTGAAAACTGAAGTTGGAAGGATTTGGGGCAGGCCAGAGAATGATATGCTTTTTCTATAGCGCTGCTGGTGGTTGTGTCTTACTGATTGATCCCAGCGTTGTCATTTTTTGTGTGATGGAGAGGCCGATTATCCAATTGTTTATAAAATCGCTTCTTTTAATTCTATTTATTGTGCTCACTGAATGTGAAAAGGTTACTGACTTGATGAAAAGTATAGCTCGCAATAAAAACAGTGTGTAGGTTTTACTGCAGTGTGGGATTACCCTGGTATAACAAAGTGCCTATTCAATAAATAATTGAAATGTATGTGAGCTACCATCTGGTGCTGCAGAGTAGGGATAAAAGTTTGTAATCCAGGCTCTTGATGGTAAGGGGGTGGACCTAAGTCTGGACTGGATATTTGTGTTCCATCAACAAGGGATACCCTTAAAACCAATTACAGTTGATACTGTGTGTTCCTTCCTTTCCTTCAAGCTGTTAAAAACAAGTAAGTGCCAGCAATGAGACACCTTTTATCTGTGTCCTAATGCCCTCACAGTGTGTTTCCACTGACAAGGAACTTGTTTCTGCCTCCAGCTAATAAGGAAAATATCATGCCAAACATGCTAATCTTCCTTATGTCATGATGTGTCTTAATTACAGCCTGATTTGCTGTTAGAAGATATTCTGGATTAATGTGCTCAAGTTTTCTGTGCTGTTATGTGTCTGTAGGAGCATCAGAGTGTAGTTAAATATTTGGGATATACTTTGAAGATCAGTGTTTCTTTATCAACTGGAGACAGAAGGAATTTCCTTTTGACAAAATGGAGACTTACCACTGACAATGGAAATAAGCTGCATAGGTATTAAATTTGAATTAAGATGACCTATATAACAAACATTTTTTTTACAATTGTGATTTTAAAACTGGGTGTGAGGTATCACACCTGTAAAATTCCCTGAAAATGATTCAGCATGGCTAATGGACTTGCTTGCCTTCTTAATTGGCTAGGGAAAATGGAGTTCAGGCGTGGTAGGTGAGGCAGGGTTTTTCTCTGGCTGTGGGGTGCAGAGGAGATGGTGAGTTGTGTGGTGTAATTGCTGGATATGGCTATCTCTGCTTTCTGACAGAGCATGGTGCTGCTCATACTCTGTAGCTAGTGGATCCTGGAGAAATGGGGAATGCAGAAAATTAAGTCCCATGTACATCTTGTGAGACTTAGGCCACCTCCTCTCTATTCAACATCTGTGGAAGCCTTGCACCTTAGCTGTGGAGGCTGATAAACTCCAAATGGCGCATCCCATTGCTTCTGTCCTGTTAATTCCTCTGCTGCTTCCTGGTAGTCCTGCCATAGGCTTAAATCTTCTTCCTATTTGCTAACCATAGAAGAGCTCAGGGTGTGGTCCTTTGCCTTGAGGCAGCTTGTGGCTTCCATTGCTTTACAAATCTTGTAAGAATCTGCCATTTTAACCTTGTCAATTATAGCTTTCCCATGGTGAATGGAGCTTTCAGACAGACTGTTCTTTCCCTACACTGGATGTATAATACACATATCTTTATGCTAAGTGTCTTTGGAGAAGAGCTAGCTGAACTGCAAGTGAGTAGTCCAAAGTCCTTTTCTTCTAGTTATTTTTATTTATAACTTCTGTTGAATAAGCTCACATCCAGTTGCTTATCACTGTTATATTGTTTATATAATAGATATTGAAATAATGCTCAGTATTCTTAGTGGGAATTGAATCCAAGTCTGTTAGGTAACAGACCCATGTCTACATGTTAAGAAAGAACTTCCCAAATCTGTGCTTAGTGTCTTTCAAACTGTAGGAGCTGCATCTGCTGCTCCTAGAGTGAGAAATACTGAGGAGTCCTGTTTATTCTAGTTGACTTTGCTCATTCCTGTCTGAAAGTGGGACTACCTGAAGCTATCAGCAGGCACTGAGGAGGCTGCATGGACTTTGGACTTACCTGATGGACTATGGGTGCTGCAGTGTGTGTTGTCCATACACTGCAGAGGGATGTCCCAAGAGACTTTTCCTGCAGAAAATGCTGTCCCTTGTTTACCCTGACAAGGAGAGAAGTACAAGAGTGCTAGAGCAGCACAGTCACAGCTCAGGTGTCTGCACCACCTGTCCTTTAGCTTTCAGGTACAGCATGTTCCTCCCCATGGAGCCTCTCGTTCTCTCATGCTGAGCCATCTGAGTCTTGCATAACCCTGTGCTAGAGTGGCTGCTTGCAGGGCACCTTGCTGGCTGGCATCACTTCTGTGCTGGTTTGACATCACCTTGTTTTTCAGGAGTTATCTTAGCAGGCTGTGGCTGGTGCTCACTGCCCCTTCCTTCCAGTCACCAGGGACTGGCACAACCGGCTGCTCCGTTTTTGGACAGCTGCTTGTCACAATTTGCAGCCAGCAGTCAAACACGTTCAGAGGAGAGTCTCAGGAATGGGCTTTATTTGTATTCAAAATGATCCTGGTGCTGCACAGCCTCTCTTGCTTCAGCCTTTGTTTCCACTGACCCTGTTTGATACTGCTGGCCTGCTACAGAGGGCAAGGTGGCACGTGTCCCCAAACACTTCATTCAGTGTTGTCTCACTCCCAGACTCTCTACTGGCTGGTTCTCTCTGTGGCAGCACCTCAAACCCCATGTCAGAGTAATTTAGTAGTTTGTTGGTTTTGTTTGATGCAGGCTCACAAAACACTTCTGTGGAATCTTTCTCCTCATTTGTTATGACCTGTCAGTTTGAATGCTGACTTACCTTCTGTGTTCTCAGTTTGTGCTGCTACCCAGCTAGAGTGGTGTTCTGCTTTTGGATGGTGGTGGTGGAGTTTTTTGTCTCTGTGTTTGTTTTAATTTTTTCCTGAGAGGAACTCTAAGGACGCTGAAGCTGTGGGGAACATGAAGAAGATGCAGATGATTAGCACAAGTAGGCCAGCTTGGCACTTGCTGCTGAGCTCTTGAAGACAGTCTGGCATAATAGTGGATGCTGTTGTAGTAACATAAATATATTCCCAGTGTGGACTAGAGGAGAGAAAAAATGTACAAACAGAGTGCTCAAAGCAACCTCTAGCCTAGCCCTGAATTGCCACTTTTGGGTATACATTTGTTACCCTTGAGTCTGGACCATAGATGGAAAAAATCATGCACAGAACATTGACTGGGAAGGGCTGCTGTGCTGGTGCAGTGATCACAACTTTAGGTCACTGTTGGGACTGGTGCTTCAAGTTTAGATCTTCCATTTGGAGGGGCTCTGTGAGCTCTGCAAGTTGAGTCCAAGGCCTAGTTTTTCCTCCTTTCAGTTCTGCTTAAAGATACATCTTAACCTATGAGATAAAAAAAAACAACCTAATTCGGGGAGGGATAACCTTGCAGGGTGGCCTTTCTGTCAGAGCAGTGCAGAGCCTGCTCTCTCAGCCTGAGAGCAGTGGTGTTCTGAAGTGTACATGTGAGCCTGAGAAAGGTCTTTCCAGCCTGCACTAGAGCATCTTCTAAACCAGCTGCAGGGTTGTCCTAGTCCTGTGCCACAGGTACTGCTGTTCTAGAAAAAGTACTGGCTAAGGGCAGGGGCACAATGTGTGGCGAGTGTGCTGCTAGCATGGATATAGCAGAACTATCCTCAAGTATTTTTGAGATGACCTCAGAGCTGATGGATTTTTAGGGTTG